GTCCTGTGAAAAAAAAAAACCTGTCAGCAGATTCCCTATTCACTCTACATTGGATTTCTGCTGCACGTGTCACTTTTAATTCACTTTAATTTAGAACAGGGCATTTATACGCTATTATGATCAATGGTAAAGAAATCCCAGCGTGTTTTCTGACTATTTTCATTCTCCATGACATCATTGTCTATTTTTATTGTCTTTATGTCTATAAACATCTAGGAATGAGATCTCAGTGATGATAGTGAAGGTTTGCCTAATTTCAGTTTACAGTTTGAAACGTCTAATGTCCCATAATGATTGAACCGTCTAGATTATGTAAAATTATAGTTTTATTGGTTTATTGATGCATTGTTAGAATTGTGTCGATTCTTTATCATTTATTAAGATGTGGGACGTTAATGGAATGCGTTAGCTGTTGTCGTCCGTCCATCCATCCATCCATCTCTTAACTAAATGCTGTAACTGTAACCTACATTATTGTTGTTGTTAGCTTGCCGTAGACAGGAACCATCAGCCCGCCTGTCCAAAGATCCTCTACAGAACCAGTGGAGACAACAGAGTGTTTCCTAAAATCCATCTGGATCCAGTGGATCAGAGTTATGTGTATGCGGCGTTTAAAAACCAGGTAGATTGGAGTTTTTTCATGGGAAGTTTCTCTGTGTTGAATGTTAAGGTGTGTCTGAAACATGGTGCTCTGTTCCAGGTGAAGCACGTTCCGGTCTCAAACTGCGGCGCTCACCAAAATGTGAAGGATTGTCTTTCTGCACAGGATCCATTCTGTGTCTGGTGTTTGACTGAAAATAGGTCAGATAAACTCCACCTGCTGCTGAATCCTTTAGGCAGATCTGAACCTGCTGATGACTCTTTTAAAATGTTTCAGATGTACATTTAAAGACAAATGCAAAGATGGAGATTGGTTTTCCATCCCTGATGAATCCAAGCAGAAGTTAGTTTCTCATATAGTCATGCAGGACTCCACAGGAGAGGTGAGTTATTAGCTAATTACTGTCTGTGTTCAGATGGAACCGCCAGTTATTCGTCTCCTTTATTTCTTCTTCTCTCAGATCAAACTTATCATTCAGACACATCTGACCCTGAAGCAGACGGTTCCGCCTAGATTCGCCTGTCAGTTCTCATCCTCCATCCACCAACTTTTCAAAGAAACCGGACCACCACCTCAGTACCCACGATGCACCCGCATTCTAAACAACACCTCTCCTCCTGATGGTCAGTGCTGGACATTAATATTTTAAACCAATTGTTCAGTTTTTTTTTTTTTTTAAATTACTAATGTTGGATTTACAGATGTGGATGTCGATATAAAGATCAGACTTGGAAGAACAACCCTGGCAGACCAAATAAAGGTGTCCAACTGTTTAAATATCACTGGGGAGGCAAGTCTTCACCTGTAAGTTTGGCAACGTCTTAAGATACACATTTAATACTTTTCTAAATATGTAACTGCAATAGAGTGGAAAAATTAAACCAAACTTGACATAAACATGAATATAAAATGAAGAGTCATACAGCAGCCGTCCTCAAGAACTGAGGACAGCTAGAGCAAAGGTCACAGATTATCAGACCGCGGTCCGGATCCAGACCCACCTGCCGGCTAACCTGGACCCAACCTAGGGTTGTCACGATACTAAACTTTTTACCTCGATACCGATACTAAGAAAAATATTCGATACTCGATACCATTTTCGATACCACAAGGATAAAAACAAAGACTCCAAAATTCAACAGAAATTTTGATTAATAATAAATAAATACAATAAACAATAAGAACAATGTTTTGAGGTTGTATGCTGTGCACAATATTAAGCAAGCTTGATAAAAAAATTACAAA